TCCGATTTATTTTCTGTGTCCATACAACTTTCTGAGTTGGGACAACAGAAAGCAAGAACACCAGGGTCTACTCTCTGGGACCCTTCTTTCTTGGTATGCTTGGTTTTCCAAAATAGCATAGAAAAATTCTTTGAACTGTCCAGCAGGGGGACACCTGACCTAATTTGTAAACTAATTGTTGGACTGTATTAGTGCACCTCTAATCATTTCCCTTAAGGAACTCTGGTAGCGTAATGGTTATGAATCGGGCTGCTAACCTCAAGGTTGGCAGTTTGAAACTACCAGCTGTTCCATAGGAGAAAGATGAGGCTTTCTGCTCCTGTAAAGAATCCACAGTACTTATCAACAATAATTTCCCTTTAATCTCATGATAGGGAGAGTGTATTGGGGAGGCATAAAACTTATTCTGGAAGTTGTGAGCCACTCTGTGCTTTAAACAAGGTAAGACATGATGACGTTTGCACTTTTGTGTAGATAGCTGATTAAGATGGTTATTGTGGTTGTTGGGGTTGGTTCTGAGTCTTACACACCCTGTACAAGGTCTCCAAGGAGCAAATGGTGGGTTTGAACCACCAACCATGTGATTAGCAGTCCAGTGTTTATCATGTAGCACCACACCAGGACTCAGATAAAGGTGGTAAAACTTACATGGTAGGATACCTGAGTTGTTGTTAGGTGCGATTGAGTCAGTATTGACTCATAGCAACCCTATGCATAACAGAATGAAACATCGCCCAGTCCTGTGCCAACCTCACAATCGTTGCTACATTTGAGCCCATTGCTGCTGCCACTGTGCCAGTCCATCTCTTTGGGGAACTTCCTCTTTTTCTCCGACCCTCTACTTTATCAAGCATGATGTCCTTCTCCAGGGCCTGGTCCCTCCTGAAAGGGAAATTATTCTCAGATTCTTAGCTTGGGTAAATGGGTGGAGAAGAATATGGAATGATTCTGTTTCCTTTCTTACTGTGACAGTACACAAGACAGCTTCAAAAACTGTAGCTGTCCTCTAACACTGATGATACCTTAACAACATGTGGGCTAGATGTCCAGTACAACGGGTCTTATTTAGGCTACAGGGAGCCAGCAGCTGGCATCTAGAAAGTACTCAGTATCCCATACCCTCAATAATTCTTTATTGCTTGCCAACATTATATTTTTTAGCTTTGGCAAGCAATTTGGCCTTTTCTGTTTTGCATTCAGGAAGAGTGACAGAAAAATTGTTTGGCAATTTGGATGATCATTTTCATGGTAAATATCCTAATATATTGTTTATAACAATACCCTACTGGATCTAGTCACTTTGAACTTTATGGCCTCGGTAGGAGTGTGGTGGCATCCTGAGAATTTAACTTTTCTCAAAACAAAAAGTATTGATCTCACAGATGCTAACAAAGCCAACATTCAGATTCAATGACTTTGTGGCTCTGGTCAGCTCCATTTCACGAGAAGATTCTGGGCCATCACAGAGCATGCTCCAGTGGTCGTTGCGAGTTCAGTGCCCACTGCTAGTCCTTCATGTTAAGTGGAGTTCTCGAGGAGAATTCATTCTGAACAAGTGACCAGCTACTGAGCAGTCTCATTGGGAGGTGAACTGGCAGTATTCAGAGCACAGATGAATGACTCTGTTCCACAGCATGTACTCCATACATATGCTCAGTACCCCTGGTACCCGGAGGCCTGGCGTGGCGCTGTGGGCTAATGCGTCAGACTGCAAAGCCGTTTGAACTGCAAAGTCAGCAGTTCAAGTTCACCAGCTGCTCCTCAGAAACCCTATACAGGGTCACTATAGGTCAGAATCGACTCAACAGCACTTAACAACAACGACAAGCCGTGTTACCCATGTGTTACAGCAAGCTGGGACTCCTTTTCTATGGAAACCTTTGGTCTTGTTGATAGGAACTCCCTGATGTTACGAGGGTTAGATGGGAAGGGGGGGGCACACAGATTATTCATCTGTCTTCTCTCCTTTCATAACTAATGCTATTAGTTAAGAAGTCTTGAGGCCTGTACTAAAAATTATTTCTATTTATAATCTTCCCAAATATACAGTTTCTAGATAAAAGAGATTAATATTTTGAAATCTCTTGACAACAAAGCTGAACTGATTTCAGAAAACTTGTAGTAATTTATACTTTTCTCAGTTGTTGTTGTTGTAAGTGCCGTCGAGTCAGTCCTGACTCATAGCGACCCAGTATAGGGTTTACAAGGAGCAGCTGGTGAGTTTGAACTGCCGACCTCATGGTTCAAACTGAACTTGTGATTGAGTGCTTATCCAGGACTCCACTTCTGCCAATAGTTATTGTTTTTGTTGTTGTTAAGTGCCGTCGAGTCGGTTCCAATCCATAGCGACCCTGTACAGGGTTTCCGAGGCTGTAAATCTTTACGGGAACAGAAAACCTCCTCTTTCTCCCGCGGAGGGTATGGAGGATAGTAAATGGAAAGTAGTCTTCTCTCTCACTTGGGTTAGAGTCGCACCCTGTGTGTGTCACTAAAGTGATCTGATGCAATTGTTCATATTTTAGTACACTAAGAGCAGCTTACCCAAACATCCATCAGTAAAGCAGTTGCAAAACTGTAGAAAATTAAAAATAAAAAATAAACAACAAGGAATACTAGACCTGTATGCCTAGCTAAGGAGTCTTGATATGGTGCTGTCAGATAAGCATTGGACTACAAGGTCGGTTTGAACCACAAGGTCAGCAGTTCAAATCCACCAGCTGCCTCTTGGAAACCCTATACAGGGTTGCTCTGAGTCAGAACCAATCCAATGTCACTTAACAACAACATACCTAACAAAGCCTTTTTTGAGAGTAGTTCTCAACTAAGGGAAGGCTACCTCTTTAAATAAGGAGCTCTGGTAGTGTAGTGGTTACGAGTCGGGCTGCGAACCTTAAGGTAAGCAGTTCGAAACTACCAGCTGCTCCATGGGAGAAAGATGAGGCTTTCTGCTCCCGTAACGATTTACAGCCTCGGAAACCCTGTACAGGGTCGCTATGGGTTGGGACCGACTTGACGGCACTTAACAACAACAACACCTCTTTAAATGGGCATTGGAAACTAAGTGATGCTTTGTCTTGTTGCCTTCAGAATGATTAAAGATGCAAAGGGCTTTTAAATCCAAGGTGGCTACCTGGAGGTGTGGGAGGGAGTGGAAGGGAAATCACAGAAAGTTTTGCTGCTTCTGTGTCTAGAATGTATTTCATTATGTCTGCGACGTTGCTACTCAAGAAATTCCACTTTTTAGGCAGCAGAGACAGCAGGACAAAGGGCAGAAATCATGAAGTCACATATAGAACTTAGAGAAGAAGTTTCACTCCTCTGTATAAAAGACAAAACTATTAGAGACATTTGAGCCTGGATACAGGTGACATTGTAGGCAGTGGTCATGAAGTAAGTGTGAAAGTTACATGCTGTCTAGTCAGTTCTGGCCCATAGTGACCCTGTACAGGGCTTCCAAGGAGCAGCTGTGGGGTTTGTGGTCCACAGTCCCGTGCTGATACTTCAGTGCCAACCAGAAGCAAGTAGTAGGCTAGTATGTGTGGTGGTTGCTTTCCAGAGTCAACCATTGTTAGGGAGGGAAGACATGATGTCCTGATGCTAGGCGGATAAAGAATTCCACCATCACCATTTTCATTTCTCGGAATTTGGGAAAGAAGTCGGATTTGTAGTCAGATTTCCTGATTCTGATAAAACTACAAGGTGATTAGTGGGGATTATGCTTCTTGTCCATTTGAAGAGAGTGTTTACCTTCAAAAACCCTGCTGTGTGCAACTTACCCCAGGGCAACTTGCCCCCTCTGACCTCTCAGCACCCATATCAGGGCTGCCTGTGATTATTTAGCAACTTCAACTGTTGTCCCCTGATGTACCCCACCCCTTGTACAGCTAGAATCCCCCCAAGCTGTAATCTGCTGATGACTGAAGCTTCAGGCTTTCTCACCCTGTTGTAAGGCTGAGCGTTTTTCAGAGAGCATGTCAATATGATGATGATAAAACCTGTTACTCCAAACTCCTCTCTGATTGTCTCCTCTGCAACCCCAAATTCCTGGAGTTAAGGGTGTACAGATGCTGCTTCAACCAATTTCTTCATTAGGGTAACAAAGTTGAATGCCTATGGTTGGTCCTGCAGGCAGGTGATTCTCCTTTAACACATAATCTTAAGAAATTTTTCTGTTTCATTTTATCCCTTTACTAAGTACTGGCAATGTAATACTCGTATTCTTGAGTCTTAGACCCTATAAAATGGGATGATAATGCTTACTTTGAAGGATTATCATGAGGATTTAATATATGAAGTTTTTATTACTTTCTTGATCCAGCCTCACCAAATTATGGAATTGTGCCTGACTATAGAACCCAAATTTATCAATGGTTCAGTGTTTCCTCACTTATCATAGTGAGGCCAAGTGTAGCCCTCTCCTTGGAAAACAGCTTTATTCCTGCGATTTTTACTGTCATTCAGCGTAGTTTTCTCATTCATGTTCACAGTGTATAGCAAAATGTGGTTCCCATCATCTAGAATACAAATTAGGATAAAGGCAAGGGACTCCAATGTTATGCTGAAAGTATATACATATATACGGATAGATATTTATTTTCTGCAGACAGATTTTACTGGTGCGTCATTTTAACTTTCAAAGAACAGCCTACTGTAACACTACACAGTCTTTTCCAGCATAGATGGGTAGCTTCTCAATGTATTTCACAAAGCCAGCACAACTCTGATACCAAACCATAACAATTAGATAACACAAACAGGAAACCACAGATCTCACTTAAAAAATACAGATGCGAAATGCCAAATAGAACAGTAGCCAATTGAAACCAACACTATTACATTAAAGTGTACAAAGTTTTGGCAATTACCAAACCAAACTGAAAATCTAAACTTACATACATAGAACTGGAACGTAAATACCAGAAACAAAATGTCCCTCCAATGTGCCAGGGGTTCTGGCTGAGGATTAAAAAACAAGACGAAACCATCTTAGAGGAACCTCACTAGTGGGGAGGGGGACTGCTGGGCTGACCATTGGCATTACCACCAGCTTCATCGTCTTCCAAATCTTCAGTCTCGTATTCTGCCAGCGCTTCCAGGTACTGGAACGGCCAACACTGCGGGTCTCTCTTATGGAGCCTGGCCACAAACCGAAGGACAAGTATCTTGCTGGTTTCAAGGAAAGCTCGAGGGCCCCAGAGAAACTCGTATTCTGCTGGTTCAGTGTGGGGAATTCGTCTAGACTCTAGGTACCTCTGTTTGACAAACACCTTGGTGATGAGCCTCCTTGTGTTCCCAAAGAGACCACGTGTCTCCCAAATATCTAATCCTAACTTGGACAGAAAATCAAAGAGAAGATGCTCCCCAACACAACTGCCTCTCATAAAAATGAGACTCAGGACTAAGAGAAGGAGACCAAGCTTGGGGGTGTCTACATGTGGTGCTGCTTGCTCAACTTTATGACGACCTAGCTTGTTGATGACAATGTAAGACTGTTTCTTTGGATCAATTTCCTTCAACTGACAGCCAAAGTCACACTCTAGCTTAGGGCTGACTTGGCTGAGGGTCCCCAAGCACTCATCTTTGTATTTGCGGATGATGACGTTCACCATCTCTGGGCGCTTGATGGACGCCTTGGCTTGGTTCTTGACTAAGAGGGACTGAACCAATGCATTTGCTCTCTCATCCAAGGGAGATGGTGGCTGAGTCTCTACCATGACCTCATCCTGGGTGGCTTTGAGCCCCTGAGAGAGACTTGGGACCTCAGAAAAAATCACGGGCCCAGAATTCTCTGGGCTTTCGAAGAGATTCAGGCTCCTCAAGGTGCTTGGGTACGCCCAGGCGCTCAGGACCCAGGAGGTAGTGGATCCTGCCCAGTCACTGAAGACCCTGGAAGTACTTGGCCCTTCCCAGCCACCCAGGGCAGGGAACGTGTCCAGGCCTTCCCAGTCCCCAAAGACCTGATGGGGGCTTGGGCCCTCCCAGCCACTCAAGTTTACATTGTCCCAGGGTCTTGAGGTCTGCCAGTCATGCAGGGTCAACATACGACCACTGCTGTCTTCTTGGATACTCAAATGCTTCTTTTTCCCAGCCACTTTACCTGGGCTGCGCTGCTGGGAGGTCTTGGAGGCCCCACCATAGGTGGCTGTTGCTGGAGTCATCAGGAAGGTGGGTGCCCCCTTTGATGCCTTTGAGGCATTGGAGTTGAGCTGTGAAACCCAGGAAATCGTTGGTAGAGTTTCTGCACAGGCAGATGGGCCCTGCAGAGGTATTGGCAGTGACTTCAGGCTCTCTAAAGTGACAGATGAACCTCTAACAGCAATCGAAGAGTCAGGGTGGACCTGGGAGCTAGCTGGAAAGACCCTTGAGTTGGCAGTAAAGGTTTCCAATGTGGTTGGCAAACTTTTCCAGGTAGTTGGCAGTTGTGCCTGGGCAGCTGAAACTACTCTAGGGGCACAAAAAGTGGCAGCAAAGATCATGCGTTCTTTTGAAGGAGGCCTACGTTCATTTGACGAGGTCCTGTGTTCCTCGGAGGAGCCCCCATTGTCTGCCGAAGATGCTCTGGGTTCTCCAGAGGGGGGAGTCATCAGTGAATTAGGGGAGTCCACGTGAAAATTCGCAGCCCCTAAGGAGGGTGTGGGCTGGGCCTGCATGGCTCCCGGGGACGGAGACTGCCAGGAGGGCTGAGGCTGCATGGTAGGCAGCTCTAGTTGGGGGCCTGAGGGCTGGGCCTGCTGGGTGGGCACTTGGATTTGCAGGACCTTCTGGGGTGGTGGAGCCCCCTGAAAGGGCTGCTCCAACTGGACCAGAGGCAGGCCCTGCCTCTGAGCTTCTTGAACAGGCAGGGGCTGCCAGAAGTGAGCTGGGGCCTTCGGGGCTCGCCAGGCTAGTGCTTGGGCCTGCTGTGTATCCTGGAATTCCACAGACATTTGCAGCTCACGTGGTACCGGGGCTTGGCCCTTGGGGGCCTGCCAGATGATGGGTGGGCAGTGCGTGAGCTGTGGGGCCGAAGGCTGGACCTGGGGTCCCTGTGCGCCCGCTGGAGGTGCAGCGTGTACCTGCATCGGTGGAGGGGCGGCCTGCACTTGGGGGGGCATCTGTACCTGCGGGGCTGGGAGCCTGGCCTGCGGGGCCTGTCGAAGAGGTGGTGGGGGTGGCAGGGACTGCCAGAGAGGTGGCGGAGTCGCAAGTACCTGAGGGGCTGGCCGGATGGGCGGCGGCGCCTGGCGTATCAGTGGAGGAGCCTGGCGTATCAGGGGTGGAGCCTGACGCGCCAGTGGCGGACCTGGCCGGATGGGTGGTGGGCCGGGTCGGATAGGTGGCGGGCCGGGTCGGATAGGTGGCAGACCCTGGAGTGCCGGCGGAGGCGCCTGCCAGGCGATCGCTGGGGCCTGCCAGGTGACCTGCGTGGTCGGCCAGGTCAGGGGAGTGGCTTGCCAGCCTTGTGGAGGGGCTTGCCAACCTTGGGAGGTGGCCTGCCAGCTAGGGGGCGTGGTGAGCTGCGCAGGTGGGGCCTGAGGGCCCTGGGGCACCTGTGGAGGAGCCCTTATAACCTGAGACTGGATTTGTAGGATCAGAGGCTGAGCCTGTGGAACCCAAGAAGCCAGAGGTTGCGCAGGTGTGACGGCTGGCGGCGCCATCGGCGCTCCTGAAGCCGGAGACTGGGTGAGAGGAGCTCTGGAACCTGGAGGATGGATCATCAGGACGCCAGGACCCGGAGGTTTGACCATCTGGGCTACTGGAGGCGGAGGTGGAGGCGGAGGCTGGGCCATCAAGGCTCCCGGAGGTGGAGGCTGGGCCACTGGCGTGCCTGACGCTGTAGGCTGGACCATCAGGACGCCAGGAGTCAAAGTCTGGGCCATCAGGACTCCTGGCGCAGGAGCCTGGGTCATCGTGGTCCCCGGATGGGGAGCGTGAGCCATTGGTGTCCCTGGTGTGGGAGGATGGGCCATCGGCGTCCCCGGAGGGGGAGGATGGGCCATTGGGGTACCAGGAAGGGGAGGATGCACCATCGGGGTTACCGTAGGGGGTGGATGGGCGATCGGTGTCCCCGGAGGGGGTGGATGGGCCATGGGCGTCCCTGGAACTGAATGATGGAGCATAAGTACTCCCGGAGCTGGAGGCTGGGCCATCTGGGCTCCCGGAGGGGGAGGAGGATGGACCATCAGGACTCCAGGAGTCGAAGGCTTGCCCATAGGGCCTCCCAGAGGGGGAGGCTGGACCATCTGGGCTCCTAGGGCTGGAGGTTGGGCCATCGGAGCCACTGGGGCTGGCGGCTGGCCCTGAGGTGCCTCCCAGGTAGGCTGAGGTGCCTGCCAAGCGGCCAATGAAGCCTGCAAGTCAATTGGAGGTGGGTCCCAAGGGACGGGCTGCGCCCGGGAAGAGGCAGGCGGGGCCCGCATCAGAACCGTGGGGCGGTTATAGATGGGCCGCTTCGGTGCCTCGGCAGGAGGACTGGAATCCCCCAGATTCTTACTTAGCTGCGACATGTCCCTTTACTCAGCTGCTGGGCCTGGTCCTCCAGAGAGAAGAAATGCCTACGTGGCTGTTGCGAGGCGCCCTCCCTGCTGACTGCTCAATAGGAAGTGAGTTCTTCTCGCTCGGCAGCTTTCCGCAGTGAGGAGGAGGGGGACGGGGGGCTCAATCCCGCCCCCTTCTCCGCCCCCGACCACCACAAGTGGATGGAGGATAGGGGCGTCTTCCAGAATTCCTGGCTCACACAAGCTCCATGCTTGATGCGTCCAGTCCGCGAATGAAGCCTGCTCAGTCTCTCCATAGATGAGTTTTCACAGAAACATGACAGGGATGGATTTATATTTTAGAAAAGAGAACTCGACTGCAGTGTGGAGTGGGGATAGACCTCTAAGAACATGGAAGGCATTCGGGAGGTGGGCTATGGCATAGCCCATTCTTTGATAGGGGGTGGAGGATGTCTGAAGTGTATATATGTGCAGAGATTTAGTCGGTAGACCATTCAGCTGTTAGTAAAAGAAGCCTGGTGTGGCACTGTGGGATAAGCACTTGACTGCAATGTCGGTTTGGACCTCAAGGTTAGCAGTTCAAATCCACCAGCCGCTCCTTAGAAACCCTATACAGACTTGCAATGAGTCAGAACCAACTGGACTGGCACTTAACAATAACAACAACACAAGGGGGTGACCACAAGGTTAGCAGTTGAAACCCACAAGGCACTCTTGGAGACCTATCTCTGAACAGATGCCACAACATAACAGCAGACAACAGTAACAACAAAGGAGACGTAGAAGACATGCATGTCTCTTATCCTGGGAAAATAGGAGGCTTTTAGTGCCATGTTTCTCTCTTAGGGACCCATTACAAGGCAGAAGGAGAGAGATTTTGATAGGTATTTAGTGAGACACAGGGCATCACAGTGTTGTGTGAATCAGTTCCTTGTTGGTGTTCACCAGTTGCAGAGCAGAAATTAAATTGTGGTGATGAAAAGGAAAAAGAAATGACTAGACATCAATAAGATGAATAAATAGATCCAAGACTGATACTTAGGAAAAAATATGAAGAATGAAATGCAAATTTTCTGCGAAGTCATCTCATAGAGAAAAACACAGAAGAATCAGTTGCCGTTGAGTCAATTCCAACTCCTAGTGACCCTCTGAGAGCTCTGGTAGCGTAGTGGTTACGAATGAACCGCAAGGTCAGCAGTTCAAAATTACCAGCTGCTCCACGGGAGAAAGATGAGGCTTTTTGCTCCTGTAAAGATTTCCAGCCTCAGAAACCCTGTTCAGGGTCGCTATGGGTCAGGACCGACTCGACGGCACTTAACAACAAGTGACCGTCTAGGACAGAGTAAAATTGTCCTATAGGGTTTTGAAGGCTGTAATCTTTATGGTGCGGCTGTAGGATAAACACTGGAACACAAGGTTGGTTTGAACTGTGAGGTTGCTGGTTCAAACTCACCCAGCCACTCCTTGGTCACTGAGTTGGAACCCAGTTGTAGGCACTTAACAACAACAACATTCTACTTGATGTTGGGAGGAAGTGACAATTTCAGTTGGACAGCTTTTTGGAAACAAAATTCCAGGTGTCATTGAGCTGACTGGCTCATGGTGTAAGAGTGGGTTTTTGATGGTTGATTTTTCAGAAGTATATCACCACGCCATTCTTCCTAGTTGCCTCTGAGTTTGAACCCCCAGCCTTTCTCTACTAACCATTTGTATCACACAGACAAAATATGCAAAGTACTGTAAACAAGAGTAACAGAATTCACAGTCTAATGTGAGTCTAAAGCAGGGGGCAGGGAAGCTTTTTTTCTGCCAGGGGCCATTTGGATATTTACAACATCTTTTACAGGTCAAACAAAATTATCAACTTAAAATTAGCCTGCTATATCAAACATTTAATTAACTCACCCCCAATAAGGGGCTCTGGTAATGTAGTAGTTACAAATCAGGCTGCGAACTGCAAGGTCAGCAGTTTGAAACTACCAGCTGTTCCACGGGAGAAAGATGAGGCTTTCAGTTCCCGTAAAGATTTACACCTCGGAAACCCTGTGCAGGGTTGCTATGACTTGGAACCGACCCCACGGCACTTAACCACCTCCACCATGTAATGGCGGAGTCATGGTGTGGGGCTGTGGGTTAATGCACTGGACTGCAAAGTGGGTTTAAACCACAAGGTGGGTGATTCAAGTTCACCAGCTGCTCCTTGGCAACCCTATACAGGGTCACTATGGTTTGGAACTGATTTGACAGCACTTAACAACAACAACAATATAGTAACTAAGGAAACTCTGGTAGCGTAGTGGTTATGAGTTGGGCTGCTAACCTCAAGGTCAGCAGTAAGAAACTACCAGCCCGTTATGTGGGAGAAAGATGAGACTTTCTGCTCCTGTAAGGATTTACAGCCTTGGGAACGTTGTTATTCAGGGTCACTGTGAGTCGGAACTGACTCTACGGCATACCACCTCCATGACCCCCAATGTGATGCCTGAAACTGCTTCTCTTTGGTGAGACGTGTGAGGTTAGCTTGTGTTGATGATGTTGCTACTTGCAACTGCTTTTCCAGACTTGCATAGGTCAATCCAGAGTGCAGTTGACTGCGATGGTAAGTTTTCAAAGAGAACAGCAGGCAGCAGTTGTTCTGAACACAGATGCATATTTCAATGCGTGTCTCCTCAAAGTAGGAAATTCATCATTCCTTTATGTAATGTTTGTAGAACTCAAGCTGTGGGAGGTTTTTGTACATAGCTTTCAACTCATCATTGCTATGCAGCTGAATGATTTCATGTTGTAGGGTATCAGGCACGTTGAACACTGGTTCTACATTAAACGGTGGAGCAAAGATGGTCAGTTCCATTTGTTAACATTTCACATCCTGAATCTTTCATTAAATCTCAGTTAGTTTCACACAACTATCAGCATATTCAAGTGTCTTGGAAGGCTTTGTCTTTTCCAGAGTTATTTAGCTTCAAATGATTTTTTGTTTGAAAGCAGGGAGCTGAGAAGCTGCCTGGGGCTCTGCAGCTGGTGTTCAGCTCTGAGAGGTGCCGTGGTGATGTCCACCATGAACACTAGATCCCACAGCCACTTGCTGTCCTGAGTACCCTGACAGGCTTTCCCTTCATCTCCATGAACTGCTTGTCTTCATCCCGCGCAGTTCCTTAAACCTCACGAGCATGTTCTGTGACTCAGCCACTGCACTTCATGGTGATAAATAGGATTACTGTCCTCAGATTCAAGATCATGCAGTAAATCCTTAAACTGGCAGCTTCGGACAACATTTCTGCACAGCACTACTGTTGATATCACACTGTTGAGCCACAGTGACTGTGTGCAGAGGCTGTCTTGGTTTATGAGGCAGTGATGTGTATAATTAAATCACTTGGATCAAGACTCAGACAATTCAATTCTTTCTTGACTAATGCAATTAACCCTTTTTGCAAGTCAACCATGGCTGGAGCTTCACCTTGCAGAAAGGTCACTTAACTTTTCAAATGTTAGTTCAAGTTTTTTCATTGATAAAACAAGCCTCTCAAACAAGTCCTCACCTCTTGTCATGCTATGCATGGCTTCCAGTGACAGCATCTCCTCTCGCGTGTCTAAGTCTGCAGTTATCCCACGAATGGAAACAGGCAGTATTTGTTGTATCCATTGTCTTGTCATAAACCAGAAAGAAAAACTGGAAATCTGCAGAATCCTTCAGTGTTTTTTCAGTGTCTTGTTATGCCAGTAATCTGATCTGAGATGGTTCTTCGAGATAAACTAAAACTCTGAGACAATTTTACTTTGTCAGGTGCTAACAGAGTCCTAGTGGGGTGCTGTGGGTCAATGCGCTGGACTGCAAAGTTGGTTTGAACTGCAAGGTCGGCAGTTTAAGCTCACCAACCGCTCCGTGGTAACCCTATACAGGGTCACTATGGGTTGGAACCAACTCCACAGAACTAAACAACATCAACAGCTCTGCAGCAGCCACCACATACTCTCTCTGTGTCTTCCCAGTTAGCTGGTTCACTATATGACTCGTCTGAATAACGTTCTCTCTGTCACAGGCAGGTCTAGTGAAAGCGTCTTACGATCCCAAACTCCGCTGAAGAGCACTGATTTAATCCAGTGATTTGGCCTCCCAATTCATTGAGTGTAGCGTGCTTTGAGCTGTAAGGACATGCCAGATTGGCTTTTTCCATTACTGCTAATGCAGTGCCACAAACTAGGCATACAAATTTGCCTTTGATTTCAACAACAAAAAAATCATTTATCCATTTCTCTTGGAAAAATTGACAAGCTGCATCAACTTCTCTTTTCTCTGTAGTCGCCATTTATAAGATGCCACACCACTTAAGTTTTAATAACTATCCAATGTGTGTGTCTCTAGCGATGTGATTCTTTTGCTTTGATCCCTGTTCTAATCCTGCATCTTGGATTTGGAACACAGCCAATGTTCATATCGTTGACTTTTGAGTACTGTGTACTCCAATTTCCTTCATCTTCATCTGAGATTCCGCTTTTGCGAGGGTTGTTGATCTTGGATGTGTAGATAAAGATTGTATTGGAGTTACCATCTGTGTCAACAAAGAAGTCGACAACATTGTTGTCAATCATGGAAGGCAAGGTACCTGATGTCTCCAGGAATCATCTTATCACATCTTGTCTCATCATCACTGGATTCCCAGTTTCTCCACAGTATGTCAACACTTTCATAACATGTCCACTCCCAGCTTGCATGGCACTGAGTATCCTCTGAGTCACAATACAGGCAGACAGGCCATGGGCAGGTGATGAGAGGCATACATGTCTGTCCCATCATGCACTCAAGTGTGTCCTGTCTATCCCATGATGGTCTATCCTTGCTTGTCCCTCAAGATTTACATTATTATGATTCACTTAATATAAAATTATATTGCAATGAAAAAGGCTCCTAGATTTGTTGAATTTCAAGCCCCACCTGCAGTTGCCATGGCAAGGCCAGATCAGATGATTTGTTGTTGTTGTTGTTAGATACCATCGAGTCAGTACCG